TACATGTTGCTCAAGCACTCGTCCCCAATATTTATATATTATATAGACACTCCCGACTGCCATGTCTGACGCAGCCGCTGATGAAGAAGCAACAGCAGCAGCAGCTCCGGCTGCGAGGCGCCCCGCCATCATATATCTGTTGGTTCGCACCGCCGGCACGCACATAGTACGCTGATCATGTTTGGGAGCGCCCACAAGCAACGTGATTTTGTTTGGGCCGCATCTGGACATTAATGTTTATCATTTTTGGAAAGGCTATACTTGGCACCAGACTGGTTCAGACCTCCAACCACTTCCTGATGAATTTAAGTCGTGAGGCACCCAGCCGCCGATCGGCTGGTTTCGCTCAAAACACAGCGGCAGAACCTGAAGCGGCAGCTCCAGCAAGCGAACCGTGAGGTTCGCAATGAGGCGACCGGCGCATGATCCACATGTATTGTTGAAATTTGATGCAGTATTGTGTTGCTTGTGCTTCCGACTTGCGCGCGGCGCGACTCATTCTGGCGCACATGCAGGAGAAAAAGCGACAGAGACTCATGCGGCGCGCTGGCAAGTTGAGCTCTGCTGATCTCACCTGGCTGCTGGCGCGTCGAGTGCAATCTGAGCAGTCTGAGCAGATGTCCACATAGCTATATTGCAGGGCACATTGGCAGTGTTTGGGGAAAGAGAGACTTGCGCCCATGTGCTAGCTTTTGTTGACAGCTAAGCTGACAACTGCTGAGCGGGGGCTGTCAGAGCAACCTTGCTGAAGTGGCCGTGCTCGCAGAAGCCGGCGCAAGCGATAAATATGTCACCTGTCACCCACGTGCTAGCTTTTTGTTTACAGCTAAGCTGACAACTGCTGAGCGAGGGCTGTAAGAGCAACCTTGCCGAACTGGCCGTGCTCGCAAAAGCTGGCGTATGCTGGGCTAGAGTCCCTCACATCTCTCCCTCTCTCTCTGTCTAGGCTTGCTAGTCCAGGTTTGTCGTGCCCGCAGTACCCTGCAGCAGCTGAGGCAGATAATATGAGCTCCTCAAAGAGATAGTGAGATGTTTGATGTTGACATACTATTACCGTGTAATATGATGCGTCAACTACAGGGTTGGCCCAATAAAGAAACATGTGACGCAAATTGTTTGGTTGCGTGCGGTTGCCCTTGCCTTGTTACCGGGGTTTATGTTTTGGACCACCTCCAGAAGCAGTTTTCGGAAACCCTTCGGTCATTCTTGCTCTGGATTGCAGCCAGGAAGCGGAACAACTTTGAAAGGAAAAACGGTATCACAGAAATTAAAGACAAGCAGACCACAAGATGATAGCAAAACCACAATCTGACCCTGCCAAGACTGTGGACTTTGTTGCTCCTAGTGCTTTCAAGGACCCTTCTCAACATTCTGTTTTGTTACACTTTTCGAGCAAATGACCTTGCTCAACGTTTGCTTCGGTTGCTAATGGCAACGTTATGTTGCGTTGTGGATGTAGCGCTTTTCAATTGTTGGTTTCGCCGCTCCATGTCATTCGGTGGCTGATGCGCCAGCGGCTGATGCGCGGCGCCTTCTTCGACTTCGAGCTCTTCATCCGCGGTCAGGTGGCCGCTCGGTGACGCGGGCTCCTGGCCTTACTACTAGGAGCACGGACGCTACTAGGGGCTCCTGGCCTTATTACTAGGAGCAAGGACGCTACTAGGGACTCTTGGCCTTACTTTCAGGACGCTAGTAGGGGGCTCCTGGCCTTGTTACTAGGAGCAAGGACTCCTGGCCTTGCTACTGGCCTTCTTAGGGGCTCCTGGCCACATTGCGAGGAGCGAGGACGCTACTCGGCGCTCCTGGGCTTACTACTGCGTCGCGCGCTCGTCGGTTTGCAGGTGCCTTCTTCGACTTCAAGCTCTTCATCCGTGGTCGTGTCAACCAGCCAAGGTGGCCGCTCGGCCTGTTGGGTGACGCGGGCTCCTGGCCTTATACTAGGAGCAAGGACGCTAGTAGGGGCTCCTGGCCTTACTCTGGTCTTATTACTAGTTACTAGGAGCAAGGACGCTACTAGGGGCTCCTGGCCTTACTACTAGGAGCAAGGACGCCACTAGGCACATGACTAGGAACGAGGACGCTACTCGGCGCTCCTGGCCTTACTACCGCGGTCGCTCGCTCGTCGGTATGCAGGTGCCTTCTTCGACTTCGAGCTCTTCGCCCGTGGTCGTATCAACCGGCCACGTGGCCGCTCGGCCTGTCGGGTGACGCGGGCTCCTGGCCTTGCTACTAGGAGCAAGGGGCTCCTGGCCTTATCGCTAGGAGCGAGGACGCTACTAGGGGCTCCTGGCCTTACTACTAGGAGCAAGGATGCTACTAGGGGCTCTGCCTTATTACTAGGAGCAAGGATGCTACTAGGGGCTCCTGGCCTGACTACTAGGAGCAAGGACGCTACTAGGGGGTCCTGGCCTTACTACTAGGAGCAAGGATGCTACTTCCTGCCTTACTACTATAGGGGCAAGGACGCTACTAGGGGCTCCTGGGGTGGGCGTGTTGGCGATGCCTTCAGTGCATCCCTTATTTAGGTTCAGATGTCCACATGCTTTCTGCGTTCGGCTGCTGGGACGATTGATATGCACACATGGATCCAAACTTTCATTTGTGTTTAACCTCGGCCTTCTCAGTGCCGTGCACTGTCCGCATTTCGGGTGATATTTTGGAAGTTGCATTCGAGCGTGCTGTCGCGCGCCGGTGTGACCTCAGGAACAGCTGCTTGGAAGCCGTCGCCTTGCTGAGCGAACCTGCAGGCTTTGACCTTCGGCTTGGACCTTGCGGCGTTTGTCATGCAGTTGGGCGACGCGGTGGGTGGGATGTCGGTGATGAGTGCATCCCCTATTTTACATTTATTAGATGTCTCCATGCTTTTCTATTTTCGGCTGCTGGGGCGATTGATATGCACACATGGATCCAATCTTTCATTCGTGTTAACCTCGCCCTTCTCAGCGCCGTGAGCTGCCCGTATTTCAGTGATAATTTTGGAAGTTGCATTTGGGCGTGCTGTCGCGCGCCGGTGTGACCTCAGGAACAGGCTGCTTGGAAGCCGTCGCCTTGCAGAGCAAACCTGCAGGCTTTGACCTTCGGCTTGGACCTTGCGGCGTTTGTCATGCAGGTGGCCGCTCGGCGTGTTGGGCGACGCGGTGGGGCATGTTGGCGTTGCCTTCAGTGTTAGATACCCCCATGGTTTCGGTTTTCGGCTGCTGGGGTCCGATTGATATGCACACTGGACACATGGATCCAAACTTTCATTCGCATTAACCTCGGCCTTCTCAGTGCCGTGCGGTGTCCGCACTTTGGGGGAGTTTGGAAGTTGCGTTCGAGCGTGCTTTTGCGCGCCGGGCGACCTCAGGAACAGAGCTTGGAAGCCGTCACCTTGCTGAACCTCTGTCTGATTCGATCATCATGTGGCTCAGTCACAACATATTGAAATGATCAGCTCCATCTCAAAACAGAGAACTTCCATTTTTCACTCAATAGTCGAAGAGGAACCGCAGTGTCACAAGTGATGTGTAGAAAATGCAAAAACACACTCATTTCCTTTAACCTCTTGCATAGTGTCCCATAGGTACCGTCAATGCGTGCGCTACTTGTGGAATCAGTTTTCGTGGCACGCACAGGGGACCTCTTTGCGTGGCATGCGCAGCATTTGGTGAACCTCTGATTCGATTTTTCGGGGCAGACGCAGCGTTTGTTAAACTTCTAGCTCCACTTTTCGTGGCAGGTGCAGCATTTGGTGAACCTCTGTTTCCATTTTTTGCGGCAAGCGCAGCATTTGGTAAGCTTCTAGTTCCACTTTTCGTGGCAGGCGCAGCATTTGTTGAACCTCTGATTCGATTTTTCGGGGCAGGCGCAGCGTTTGGTAAACTTTAGTTCCACTTTTCGTGGCAGGCGCAGCTTTTGGTGAACCTCTGTTGCCATTTGTCGTGGCAGGCGCAGCATTTAGTGAACTTCTTGTTCCATTTTTCGTGGCAAGCACAGCATTTCTTAAACTTCTAGTTCGATTTTTGGTGGCAGGCGCAGCGTTTGGTGAAAACCTGCTTTCATGTTTCGTGGCCGGCGCACGGAATTTGAAGCTCCAGGTGGCCCAACGTGTGGCCAGACGCTGAATCGTAACGTTGGAATCCAACGTTATGCTCGTTTTACGTGGCAGGCGTGGGACAAAAGTCGAAATCGTAACGTTGGACGCGTTTGAAAAAGATTATAGTAATTCTCTTTTTTGAACCGAGTCCAACGTTATGATTTGCACTTTTTTGTGAAACTGTCGCCGAAAACGGATCGTAACGTTGGATTCCAACGTTATGATTTGCGTTTTCGTGTGGGGAGTACTCCGATTTTGGCCGCGCTGGCTGTGCTGAAAGTGGAGATTTCGTGGCAGGCGCAGCGCTTTGTGAACCTCGAGGTGCCGATGTCGTGGCAGGCGCAGGGCTGTGTGAACCTCCAGGTGCAGATTTCGTGGCAGGCGCAGCGCTTTCTGAACGTCCAAGTGGAGATTTCGTGGCAGGCGCAGCGCTTTGTGCACCTGAAAGTGCAGATTTCGTGGCAGGCGCAGCGCTTTGTACACCTCGAAGTGCAGATTTCATGGCAGGCACAGCATTTTGGGAACCTCGAAGTTCGAAGTGGAGATTTCGTGAACCTGAAAGTGCAGATTTCGCAGGAGGGGCAGCATTTTGAGAACCTCGAAGTGCAGAGTTCGTGGCAGTCGCAGCACTTTGTCAACCTCTAAGTGCAGATTTCGTAGGAGGGGCAGCGTCTTGTGAACCTCGAAGTGCAGATTTCATGGCAGGCGCAGCACTTTATGAACCTCGAAGTGCAGGTTTTGTGGCAGGCGCAGCGTTTGGTGAACCTTTGCTTTCATTTTTCGTGGAAGGCGCAAGCTTTGGCGCACTTTTAGTTTACTCAAACTGTGGTTCCTGCCAAACAAAACGCACCAAGTTTAGGACTCTATGATGGTAGTTGTATATAATGCACGCAACTGTAAATCATCACTAATCATGTCCAAGGCCATGGCCACGTCGAAGTCCTCCGGATCCGCTTCGCCCGCTTCGTCCTCTTCGTCCTCTTCATCAAGCCATGAGGAGGAAAAACCATCTGTGACTTTGGGCAACAGCGACACTTCCACAGAGGCTGAGAATGCACCAGCTAAAGCGAGAGCATATGCTGGTATGTTTACTTGGCCATGTCCGCGGCATTTTTTCCAAGACTTGGAAGATCGACGAGCAGCAAAGGTCCTTAAGCCTTGTGATGTTTCCAAGGAGAAACTGTTGGAGGCCTTCACAAAAGCGCTGAAGAGCAAAGGTTACTTGCACAATCTTGTGAAGGCTGCCGTGGCGGATGAACCGCACAAGCATTACCAGCCCGATGGTGCTTCTCGGGAAAGACACAAACACCTCATCTTTCTGTTTCGAGCTCCGTTTGTGCACGCTGGCGTTCGCAAGCTGTTGGCCGAAGAGTTTGGGTACCATGGATTCTTCACATTTCATCGCGCGGGCTGGTGCGCCTATCTGGATTACCTGATGATGGAGAGCGCAAAGAAACCAGCGCATGATTTAGACCGTGACCTTGTGTTTTATCCGTCAAGTTACACCAAGCAGAAAGCTGATGGCGAGCTTGCAGGGATGTCCTCGCAGGTGGCTGGCAGAAAGAAGAATGAGGGGCTGCAGAAAGGTCCGTCGGAGGCCTTGCAGAAACGACGCCGGCGCATGTCTTTTAGCGAGCTTACAGACTTTTTGTTGTCGAAAGGAAGATTTCAACAGTGGCAGAGCTATGGAAGGCCTGGCACACATACAATCTGGAGACTGTTTTCCATCAAGCGTAATATCAGTCTTAGATAAGCATCCTCCTTGGTAGAAACAACGCGGTTGGAACGACAAGGTGCATCATAGGCAGTCCAATGTTTGGTCCAATCACTTCGTTGGGGATGCCGCGGGTTTTGTGGTCATGCCCAAAGTGCTTTGTTTATAATTCCCTCTCATCGCCAGGCCGCCGAAGAGGAAAAGATGCGTGGCAACTCTTTGGTTTGGGACCATGTGGGGCAGCTTCGGGATCCAGCTGCGGAAGTGCAGAAAATCTTGGCTGCGTGGCACCGACCTGAAACCTTGGGGGCTTCAACTCTTATCACCTCACCACGCTTTCCTTTGGAGCACTTTGATGTACCTCCACGGGTCCTGCAGTGGAAGGAGACCCAATCCCTCACCCATACCTTAATCCTGCGTGGTCCGCCTGGGACTGGGAAGACTGAAATGGCTATATCCGTGCTTTTGTCCACATGCCGCGCTGGCATCCACTTTGTCAGCAAGCTTGATCAGATGCATAAGATCACCGTGCACCCAGGTGAGGGACTTGTTGTCGATGAGGCTTGCTTCAGGACAGTGAGCATTGATGATGCGAAAGCTTGGTGCGATGTGACTCACGCACGCGATGTGCACAACCGTTGCTCTGACGGACACATTCCAGCGCAAACGCCAAGGATCTTCACTACAAACCATGAAGTCCCACAGTTTTGGCCCCCAGAGTATTTTCATTCCAGTCATCAGGCTGCAATTGATCGGAGAACTGTTTGGGTTGACTGCACAAACAAGCTGTTCAAGGACAGGGAAGCAACGTGCAAGGGTAACAACGTAACGTTACGAAGCGCCATCCAAGGGAGGTGTATTGCCCCCCAAAAGTGTGTAACGCAGGTGGTCAGCGAGGTTCATTGAATCTCCTTTGAATGGCCCTTCCCAACGTTATGTTTTGGTTGTTGGAAATTCCAAGTTGGAAAGTGTTTTTCTGGAATGCCTGGCCCTTCGCAACTTTACTTTTTTGCTGGAATGGCCCTTCTCAAGGTTGAGTTTTTTGTTACTGAAATTGCTTCCCACACTGTGCGGTGTTACATCTGATGTTTTGTCGCTGAGGCTATATTTCCAACATTATGCACTGTTAAATCTTGTGCTTTGTTCATGTTCCGTTTCCCTCCACAACTGCATTCCCAACTGGCGCTTGATCTTGGGCTGGGTATTCTCGGATTACCTGGCAAGGAGCCACAGGCTGATTCGGACGCCTGTGCATCCCATATGATCTCAGATACACCAGTGGCTGCAGCGGCTGCGATCTTGCGGCCAGATCAGGAGCCACAGGGTGAGTCGTCCGGAGCGGACGCCTTCAAGGCCCATAGGATCTCAGAGACAGCAGCGGCTGCAGCGGAAGATCTCTTGTGGCCGGATGACGATGAACTCAACGAGATGATGGAAGATTCATTTGATTTTTGAATTTCTGAACAGTGTATTCATATGCCAATTGCAGCATCTATCGTCTATCAACAGACGCCGAAGGCGCTACGCGAGAAAAGAATAGTGGTATTGACGTGAGGGCGCAATCGTGGGATGGTGGACCCGTATTTGTGATGTACTACAATCGTAGAAGTAGTTTTACCTGACACCGGTTCAGGGTTTCACCTCCCACAACCCCACTCAAGTCTGGTGGACACAATGTGAGAAAACCATACACTTTGACATTGTTTTTTTATACCAGGGGATATATCTGGGACCCAACCGACACCATCGCGAGGTGTAGAAATTGCGGTTTGTAGATGAGGTTCCTTTGGTGCTTCAAATTTGAGGAGACCACCGATTCTGGTTCAAAGGAAGACAACCGGGCTATCGGATCGTGTTGCTGAGGTGCGGCCATTGCCCCCCATTCATTCCATGAGTCGAGCTGTGCAGTGGAAACAAAGAACGCCGGGGTGGCACACCAAACTGGGACGTTTTAGAGGTAGGAGTTCCACTTCCCTTCATTGGGCCCTAGATGTATATATATATATATATATATGTGCGGCGGTGAAAACATGCGAGTCATTCTGCTGCCATGGTAACGCTCTTCCAAAACGCAAACGAAAACCTACAATCTCTCTCAACTCGGAGGGTTCTTGCTCTGCACATGGGGACATGGCGACTTCTGTGAGGTATCGCTCCAGGTATCGTTTGGTATCGCTCTAGAAACCACGTTATCATTGGGAGACGACACATTCCTGGAACAGGTATCGCTCTTCAGGGTTCCCTATCACTACACACATTGATTACAGAGTTTTACAAAGTAAATGGCCCGGCGGTTCACCTCCAAAACTCTTCATAGGATGCTTCGGCGTTTCCAAAATGTCTTTTCCCAAAATGGTGTACTCATCGCAATTCCATGGGCCTCTAAATCTCCTTCAAAATCCAACCACACTCAAAGGTGTTAAACATGAAGGCATGTCAACTGCAAAAACTGTGAGAGGTGTCTAGCGCGGACCTTTTCAGGGGCCTGTTGAGCTGCTGGAGCTGTTGTTGTTGCTGCTTCTGCTGCTGCTAGACTCCTGCAGCGGCTTCCAATTTTTTTGTTCTCAGAAATCTTCAGAACGACATAAGAAGGACGTAAAAGCTGACTCAAAACGATTTGCGTGTTGGATGGTCAAATGGTCAAGAAATGGACCGTCGTCTAGCCCGGTGTTGCGTAGTGCAAAAATCTCCGTCGATTTGTTTAATTTATCCTGTCAGATTTCTATTTTCCTGATTGGTTGTCTGCTTCTGATTGTGCATGCTTCTTCTTCTTCTACTTCTTCTTCTTCTTCTTTGTTTTTCCTTTTTCTTGTCTTGTCTTGTTTATTCTTTTTCCTGCTCTCTGCTTGTTTCTTCTTTTTTCTGCTTGCTTATCCTGTTGTGAAGAAACCTAGCGCCAATCTAGCGCTGCCTTGCTGTATCACCATAGTCTGCTGGGGGGCCCGCTTCTAAACAAAGACTTAAAAACACATCTCCAACTCCAACCTTCAAAGTTTACGTTTATCTAGATTTTTTGAGTAGGGCTTTTTGAGCGCAGTCCATATATACATATACATACTTATATCTAGATCTATTTATTTACCTTGTTTACATGTGTGTGTGTGCCATGCTGATGCAAAAACATTTCAATCGGGCCGAACTTGCCACCCTCATGTTCTGTACAACTTGTAGCTTGGGTAGTTTGGCATCTCCTGCATATCCTATAGGAGTGTGCCAACAACAGTATGAGTAGCAAATGTGGACCGCACATTCTATTCCAAATGAGCCGGTCAAATACACACTCGTGTCTGGGCCCTGGGTGAACAGCTTGGCAGTGTAGAATGACTCTCCCTCATACTGATCTTTGTTTGCGAATCGGAACGTTCAAGATCTGATTGCCAAAACAAGCAGCATTTCAAAGCCTAAGCAAAAAGGGGTTTGACAGTCAATAACCAATGCTCTCAGCCGACTGCTGTAGTCCACAACTCTGGCAATCTTGCCCGACAACCCTTAGGGCACCCACAACGTTGAGTTGAGTGGGTCCAAACACTGGACAGCTATATGGTCAAACATGGGTGAGATCATTGATTCGATGATATTGGCAGTGAAGGTCAAGGTGACCGTGGTGATGCATTGATGATGATGATGGTGGTGATGATGATGGTGATGACGATGACGATGACGATGAGGATGATGATGATGATGATGATGATGA